AAAATGATAACTGAGTTTCTTACATTATACTTATAATATAGTCTACGGAACTTCATTACATTAATTTGTACTTTTGCAATCATCACACAAACAATTTTGTATACTAACTTATAAATAAACAAGTTGTCTTCAACATAAAAATCCAAATCAAAAAGAAACACAAAATAAAAAGATAAATTATATTTATCAGATGAATTGTTTGTTGATAACTGTCCAAAACTATGTTGTAAAAAAACATGTGATACATTAAACAAATAGTAAATATTACTTATTACATATCTGACGTTTTCAAACATGTATAAGTTTCAGATAAAGAAGAAGAAACATTTACATGTGTACATAAACGTTTGATAAAAACATTGAAATATGAAATGTATTAAATATCAAAAATAATTAATTTAAAACTTTATTTTTACTTAAATATATTATAAACATTGTTTAACTAAACTTAAGTGTAAGAGTTACATAATAAAACAATTTCATATACTTTGATTTATTAGGAGCAAATTTTGGATGTAGTGAATAAATTTCTAGAAGCTTCGTCGCATACACCTTCTTCCGAAAATAATGTCAATAATCAGTTATATTACGAAGTTTTAAAATGGGCATGTATTCTCGATAGCATAAAGTGCAAAGATATTATCATGGCTGAATTAAAGTGGCATATACTCAATCCAGCACGAAACAGGTATGTTATTGACTTAATAGCAAACTAATAGTAATAATATAATTACCTGATTGTAGTTATGTTGTTTTACGTTTATATACCCTTATCACATAAATTTTACATTGTTCTTAGTATTGTTACTATTAGTATTTTTGTTGTTGTTGTTGCTCTTGTTGTAGGTACAAAAAAACAACATTATCGCGTCTAGTGATTTCTTCATTTCCTTCTCTTTCTTTTCTTTGAGTAAAAGTATATATATTGTTTCTTTGCAGATTTTTGCAAAGTTGGCAGAAATGGATATTTTGCCAGAGCTTAATCGTAGAAAATTCCACATATGAAACCTCTTTTACATGGTATACATTAAAAACCATGTATGAAACGCAGTCAAAAGTAGAAGAAATGTTTAAATTCTTACCTTGTTCTAGACTTCGCAGAAATATTTTCTCATCTTTCAAATTTTTTGCTACTACTTTTCTACCATCTTATGAACGTAGGGTAGATTTAAAGAAAAGTGATAGAGTTTCTTTTCTTTTTAATATTTATGCAAGGCATTCAAAAACTCTTGCGTCGCTAACGTCTGTACTAGAACACATACGTTACATAAAAAGGTAAACCACTTTTTTGTATGTATAAACTTTTGCATATTTACATAATGTAGTTACGTTCTATATAGACTGCATATGAAATTCATTTGCCGCATATACAACGTTGTATTATAATATATACTTAATACGTAAACAAATAAATTTTACATATTAATTTTCATTGTTACTTGTGATAGCGACATTAACATAAGTGCACTAATGAACTGTATTATTAACAACATATATTCAGACGAAGGCCTGTCGATGGTACGTATAGAAAGTACTATATATAATCATTTGCTTTATCAATATATACGATTTACTTTATCTCATTTTATATATATAAACACCTACACACACATTTCGATTTTTCTACATGTCATATATTTATATACGTAAATGTGGTAGAGATATTTTGTAGTTAAATAATATCTTAAAGTGTTTTCGATATATTAACATTAATATGTAATATTATGTGTTTTTATACAATGCGCAAGCACATCACATTCAATGATAACAGCATAAAATATTTTCAGGTTACCGATGAAAAGTTCTTACAAATGCTGAAGGACAGACATCGTGCGGTAAATGTTTTTATAGATTCTTAGAAGTATTCTATACTTCTAAGTAGTGTTTCTTGTAATTTAACAATTTTTTTGAGTTTTTAAATGTAACCTATTATATATTTATAAAATGATATTTTGTTTGTCCTTATAACCATATATTATATTTTATTTAATCTTTGCAAACTTATAGAAAATTTTTATATAAGATTTTGTTCTCTGTTTCAGCAATCTTATGTTATTTTTGCCGTGAAATACAAAGTTGATGATCGTCGTGCTTTACTAGTTAAAATAAAAAATAACTTTTTTACAAGCCGTAAAATGCATTTATTTACAGGGATTTAATGTTAGATTTGTATACTCATTTTATTTATCTTAAAGGAACAAATGCTACTAATTACTTGTATTTCTCACTAGTTTTGTGATTTGTGTTTAATAAGAAAAGTTTTCTTTTATGACAACAAAAAATATTTATTATTTATATTTAAAATTGGTAATAGAGTTTACGGATTTTAATATAGTTAATAATTCGCGCCAGTTGTCCACAAAAGAAAATTAAATCTGTATTAAAAGTAAATAGTTTATAATAGTTTAATTGATTAAAGTATTGTTGTAAAATTAAGTATTCATTAAGCATCTTGCAGAAAAACTAAATATAGATATGAAGTACATAGTAAACCAATACAACATATATACATAAGATTACAAAAATACAAAAAAAGTTATATATTATTTAATGTTAAGTTTAACAAGATTTAATGATTAAGACTATTACTAATACTTATAAAACAATAAGAGTTACCGTAGTTTTACTCTATTATGTTTTAACTATAAAATAATTTGTGTTATATAATTTTTATTTATAATAAACATATCATTTGCACTTCATTTCTCTGGTTACTTTTTAATGTTTTTTAAGATTTTAACAATGTGCAATACTTTCTACCAAGTTTATATGTGAACATATTAAAATGTATACATTATATATTTATATGTACCATAATATAATCATTTTGTTTTGCTGTATTACAAATACTCTAAGAACAAATGTGCCCTCCTAAACAGAACTTTATTGCTTGCTACCTTTATCGTCTCTTTTTTAAAACTACAAAGTTACAGTAATGTTACTATCATAATAATATTTGGTGTTATAAACTTTCTCAATGTAAACTTCTCGAATTGTACAAAAAATGTCATTTGTCGTAATTGTTATTTTTTGTTTTACATATTTAGACTCATAAACATTTTTATAATATTACAGAAGACTTTAAAACTTTACATATATTTTTCTTACTGAACTTAATGAAACGTCATGTAACATGCAGTACACTAGATGCGCGCGTACTCTCGCACTTTAAAATAATAGATATTTACGTACAACTCTAATACGTTAAAACTTTATCGACAGACGCGCTATCAGAATTATTGCGGTATTCTATCTTTGTATTATATCTAATATGCACTAAACATAGAGCGAGATGCAATAGCGCAAATATAGCGCTCTTTTTTATTGCAGCTAACTCTACAGATTTACATCAAAATATCAAACAAAAGCGAAAGTGCAAAGAAACCCTGATTCCACCCCATTGAAACCCCAGACCACTATATTCATCTATTTGATTTGTCTTTGTCTCTGTGGCAATCTTTACTGAGTTCAGAAAGAAAAGAAAATCGATCTTTGCATAGGAAAAGTAAAAAGTGCAAAGTAGCGATAGCGGTTTGTGTGAAATTAGCGGGATACTCGTTAATATCTACTGGCTGTAAAGTAAGATGGCTTTCTGATACGAGATATGCGCAAAACGAACAAGTTTTTGTCCGTTTCACTTTACATTTTTCATTGAACTTAGTGTAGTTTTTAGGCGTCTTGTTGCTTTGATTTCTGTATATGCCACAGAAAAACCTGAGAACAGTCATCTCATGAAACTTTTTTTCGACATACTCGCGATTGCTGCTTTTAATATTACATATCCATAAAAATAGATGTATGAGAAAACTACGGAGCAACAATCACTTTTAATCGTAGACAGTACAAATGTAATTCTCTTTGAGTCTGTGCTGGAATCACTTTTAAATAGTTTAAAAATTTGTTTTATTTTATTCAATGTAGTTGTTTCAAAAAAACAAATATTGAACTGACTATCTCAAATAAACCATTTTGTATATGAACGTTTTCACATATTGAGCAGTGAAAATTTACATTTCAGAAGTCATATTTTTCTCACTAACCATATTTCTATCAGTAGAGATAACTTTCGTAGACTGCGAATTCAATACAACGCAATTTACATATTGTAGCAAAATAGAGATACATAATTAAGTACTCCGTTTATTTAATATGCGCGCTTATACAAGCCTCATATATCGATATAATAGTATATCGATATAAAACGCGGCATTTCTGTGGAACACAACACACAACACACACACAGAATATCCGCGAACTACAAAAGTTATCTCTATACAGTAGCGTAGTAAGAAAAAACAACGGCCAGTGCGGTTTTTTTCCTATTCTTTATAAGATTACTTTGCTAATAACTACTTTAAAAACTATCAAATACTTGTTTTAGTTTAGTAGGAATTTCCTTTTTTAGTTTACATTTTAATTTTTGATTATAAATTAATTTCTTCCACATATAAAAAAAAAGCGACATGTCACTCGTACACTATACTTTAACTATATAATTCACACACTTGTCTGTGTCGGAGACTGTAAAGTGACAAGTGTGTACGCCTTGTTTGTCTTTGCGCTACTCGATTATTTTAAAGAAAAAAAAGCGCATTAAGAATAAGCAAGAAAAGACAAAGCAGTCTTTTCATTTTACACCAAAATTTATAGGAAGTTTTGATACAAAAAATAACGCCAAATTTTTTGAACAGACATTTCGTGTTTCTATTACTCAAGTCGAAGAAATAAGAACAAATGAAATTTTCGTACATTATATTAAACAACGCTGGAACTTCACGCTATAAAAACGCGTTTATATAATGCTCTAGTCCGCCGACAGCGACCGGAGCGGATCGCTCCTTCCGCACTTCTTTTGATACGCTACTGCTTCTATACATGTATGTATCTACATGACATACACTCTAAGTAAGACGTTTTTCACAACACAGATGTTTTCATCGTGATGTATATTTGTTACTTCACGGAAACGACTGTCCTGTAGTTATCGAGTATCTCTCGTACAGTCGAGATCGCAGATATCCTTTGTTTTTAATCTTATATAGTGATGCTTTTGTGTTTCAAGAGATTCCTATTTTAATAGACTGGATTATTATCTTAAGGATGGTAAGTCANTAAACGATCAATCGTGTATTTGTTGAATATTTATATTTGTTTTTCAATGTAACCTATATCCTTTATCATACGCTGAAACAATATAAAATCTGTTTTTTTTCTTTATATTTAAAAAGTATATTTGTACTCACTTTTATCAGTTATTGTACGAATCTATCTATTTGACAATACTCCATACATTATTAATACAAACATATTACTACAATCTAAGAATATCTTTTTTATATTGACGTAAATTGCAATGTGTGACATACTATATTATTAAAACGCGTTAACAAAATGTGAACAGGTTTTTATAAAGGAAAGCTTTGTTTGTTCAACTAATATTTTGTTCTAAACGTTCAACATTCTTTAGACTCTTCTTTTTTTAATTGTCCTTCTATATGTCAAATTGATGAAAACAACACAATCATGAAAAATATTATGTACGTGTACGCGTGTATGCGTGTACGTAATAAATATAAAGACATCGCAGCATAGTGATAAACATGCTTATAACGGTCATATACATCTGTTATTGGCAAGAATATCAAATATATAAAAACCAAGAAACCGCAGGACACGAGGTTGACAGTTGAAATGAATCGTGTAAAGTGTATTTTCTGTGGACGTTTCGATCTTTAATTGTAGATCATTTTCAGCACTGCATTGAGATACAATAATAATTAATCAAAATAAGAGAACAATAACGCAGTTACAAGAAATAATAAATTGAAAATAAATAAGTGCGCACCTAAATTCAAATAAGTCACAACAATGAACCGTTGAAATTGAGTTGGCGAGAAAAACAAGTCAAAGTGACCGACAATCAACATACATGTAAACGATGTTCATGTTCGGAACTCTGTAATAATTAAACCAAGAAACGACACATAAACATCGTTTACATGTATGTATGTTGATTGTCGGTCACTTTGACTTGTTTTTCTCCCCAACTCAATTTGGACAATTCATTGTTGTGACTTATTTGAATTTAGGTGCGTACTTATTTCTTTTCAATTTATTATTTCTTGTAACTGCGTTATTGTTCTCTTATTTTGATTAATTATTATTGTATCTCAATGCAGTGCTGAAGATGATCTACAATTAAAGATACAAACGTNTACAGAGAATACACTTTACACGATTCATTTCTTGGTTTTTATATATTTGATATTCTTGTTTTTATTTCTTCTAGCCGGTTTTGTTAAAAGTTATTGTTATTAACAATTTTATGTGAAAAACAATTTATGGCCGCGTTTAGTAAAGCAATTACTGAATTGTCGATACTCTTGTCACTACTCAACGTGGAGTAACCGGTTCGAAAAGTGTCACTCATGTTTGATTGCTAGAAAGCAGCTTGTTTTACTAAACGCACCCATTTATTCTATACAATTTAAATTCGTTGTTGCAATTTTCTTTGCATATTTCTTGTTTAACAAACAATTTACTTTTATAGGTCCACATTACGCAGATGCTTCCATTTTTTGGTACTTTGTGCCTACTATTTCTAACCGGAATTGCTTCTTCCACGAATAAGACTTTATCTGAAGAAGTACAATGCATAAAACCGATATCCTATGAAATGACTCTTTTTCCACAAATACAAAATAACTCTCTCAACGTTGAATCTCGCGTCAAAATAAACGTTACATGTATTCCACGATGGATAAGATTATATTTTGGACGTTATTGTAATCAACCGGAAATTTCTATCAGTAGTGATATACAAAATAGTTCTACTTCTTTGTTTTTAAAAATAAATTCGGTGATATTTTTTACGAAAGATCGATTTAACAGCTTGAACATCACAATTCTTTCTCTGAATCGCGAGAATATTAGAATAAACAACCGAATAAAATATCTGCAACGTGGAATATATTGGATACATGCGAAATATAATTGCAGGTTAGCAAAAGTTGCAACAGTTTTATCATATGTCCAACAATCTGAAGAAACAGAGTAAGTTAATATTACATTCGTGCATGAAATATTACTTTTCTTGAGTTAAAATATGAATTATAAATATTCTTTGCAGTAACCTTTACGGAAAAAACGTTCAACTGATTAACCTTAACGTACGAAATCACGTTCAACTTGACCGTAAACGCTCAAAATTGAACGTATAACGCTGGATATTGAAAGTTTACAGTCAAGTTGAACGTGATTTCGTACGTTACGGTCAATAGTTGAACGTTTTTCCGTAAGGGAACTTACTAATTTATCTCTAGCATCAACGTTTTTCATTCTATAGATATTTGATTTTGCCGCGTATTCCCGCTGAATGGATATTTCCTTGTTGGGAAAACCCAGCAAATAAGGCCACATTTAGTATTAACATTTACCACAACATCGATGAAATAGCTCTTTCACATATGCCTGGTGAGCCACGTCTTGAAGGAAATACATACTTTTCCCCTTCGTCTATAATGTCTCCTCATTTAGTAGCAATAGCAGTCGTACCTTCTATCGTAGCAAAATCCTTGTATTTTTTTGAGGGAGATATTATAATAAACAGAGTACAGATAATCAGTAAATTGTCATATGCACAATCTCTTATTACAAATATCAAGCATCGTGTTAAAAACACTTGGAGAGATGTATCATGGTCACGTGTGATTTATGTAGCACTTCCAATAAATTCTAGTCATTACGAAACTATAATAACTAAAAATCAAGTTTTCTTCAAGTAAGATACTATTCAAGACAATAAAACAAGTTTATAAACAGATGTACCGAAAATGACACGATTGCACTAAGACCAATGTTTTTCAGTGAAGCTGACATTACATACGATGAAGAACTAGATTCACTTGCACAAAAAAAAAAGGTAACATGTTTGGTAGCACGTAATGTAATACAAGAAATGTTCAGTGCTTGGTTACTTACATTGAAACACTCTGATTCCTGGTTTATGGAAGGTTTTTCAACATATTATGGAGTGTATATTATTGATCAGGTAATTTATACATTATCATAGTCGTTTAAACTTGTAACTTAAATGGTTTGTTACACGCAAATATTATTTATAATAAACTTTATCCTATTACTATATACTTACACTATCGTAACACGTCCATGTACCACTGTTGTAATATTACTTTTTTACATTTTTATTAAGATCCAAAATTAGTATCAGAACATAGGTATGTATTAGATACTATGTATACATATGTATATGTATATATTTATGAGTATATATGGTATCGTCATTTTCTACGTTTAACCCTATAACTCTAAAACGCAAATTTATTTATATTAGAAAAAAGCAGGTCAACAGTTTAACACTTTTATGTTTCTCTCAATAAAGATGCTTTTTCTTTTCGATTTTACCTTATGAATATTTTACTTATAACTATATCTTTTTATTGTTTGTTTATCATAAGAACGTCACTTTTGAGTATCACTATACATTAAACTATAAATTTCTGTGTGAGTCTCAGATAAACACACGACGAAACGGATACGGCAAAATGTGTACATCAAACACAGACTCAATCGCACACGACAAGACACAGACATAGAACTAAGACAATCGGACACAGTTACAATTGAACACAAGTTAAGACGTACGAACGACATTCTCAATCGGACACAAGACGCTTGTAGTGACATATTATACTGGCGTACATTGACAAGCAACGTAACTAAAACGAAAGCAAGATTACATATAGGTTTTAACTTTCTACGCAAATCGAAGAGAAAGTGCAGGCTGCCTTTGACTACACGTTTAAAGCACAAACAAAAAGAACATAAGAAAAGTAATCTTGTTTTAATACTAATGTGTCCGATTGAGACTATCGTGTGTCCGTTTCATTTTGTGTTTGTTTCAACTTGTGTCCGATTGAAACTGCATCCGATTGCGACTGTGTCCGATTTATACATCTTGCATTGCCTGTTTCATTTTTGAGTTCATCTGGAACACACTTCGTCTGTGACACTTATATAAATATACCAAGAGAGTGTCAATATATACACAGTTTTATATTTTTACATATAGAAACATATAAAAGTAATGCGTGTAAAATATGTATGTACAGAACACACACACAAAACCAATATAACGTCTGTGTTAAACATCACAAATTTTTTTTA